GGGGGGAGGCATATCTTGCGACGGCACATCTCTCATGCCCAAAAAACCTAGAAGTGGTGTGTTGGTTTATTCTTCCCACCCCCTGCTTACGCAGGCATCCGCCCAACTTTATTCCTTCCCAGGTTTTGGGCTGAAGCCCTCAATTCCCACCTTTCTTCACACTTGTGGACTACAACTTAAGCCCAAAGCCTAATTTCCAACTTCTAAACTCAAAGCCCTAGACCCTAAACTCTAACTCCTAAACTCAAAACCATACATACAACGAACCCCCAAGTCCTAAACCCAAAACCCTAAACTCTAAACCCCCAAGCCTTACCTCTAACTCCTAAACTCAAATCCCTAAACCCCTAAACTCCTAAACCCCCAAACTCCCAAAAATGGGAGCCCGAGGCCTCGTAGCAGGACATCTCCACGAAGGGCTCAGCAGCCCAGGCGGCTTTCCCGGGCTGGCAGCCTGGGTGGCTTTGGGGTTTAAGGGCTTTCTTTATTGGTTTAGGGCTACAGGGTTCAAGGTTTAAGGTTTAAAGGGTGTAGGGTTTAGGGGTTGTTTCATTGTTGTGTTTGTGTGCGTGTTTTTGATTTCTCTGTTTTTGTTTCCCTGGGTTTGGGGTTTTAGGGCGGATAGGGTTTGAAGCATTTAGGGCGTAGGGTGTAAGCTTTGAGGTTTAGCGCTCTCTGCATAGACTCACTCTATTATTCGGAGCGCGCTATTGAAAACAATTTGAATATATTCTTTTTGCTTCGAAGTATAGGTGAATAAGCCCAGAAGAGTCCTACGATGGTCAGATGGCGCTTATGTTTTGGATTGGAGTGCACAAACTGCCGTAATACTTGGGCTGCGGTCTTGGGCCTTTGGGCTTTTCGCTTTAAGGCTTCTAGAAATTTTGTTTAACAAGTGGAGATGTTGGGTGCTCAGCTTCTTCAAAGGTTGAGGGCAAGTTTATTGTTAAGGGCTTAGGATCGTAGGATCCAGGGTGCGTGGATTAAGGTTTGGGGTCAACAGCTTTAAGTGGAGGCTAGGGTTCGAAAAAGCCGGGAACACTTCGTCCCTTTGAGGGTTGTAGGGGGATATATGAGCTATAGTCTAAACTCCTAGTATCCCCCTTAATAACCCCTATAGTAGTTCCCTATATAGTCCCCTATATAATCCCCCTTTAAGGAGTTTAGACTATAGCTCATATGGTTTGGGGATCAGGGTTTGGGGTTGCTGAATGTGGGCGTTTTCCCGCACTGCCAATGGCCAGCCGCCAAAATCAGGCGCAATTTTCCGAGGCCTGGAGTACAACAGGTGATACCACCTCTTAGGCAAAGTTAGTATTATTCTTGTCGTGGATGAATAATAGTTTTTAGGTTTTTCAAGGCCTGGAGCAACCCTAGACCCTGAACTCTAAACCCTAAACGAACTCGAACCCTATTTCTGGAACACGCACCGCGACCGTTGTCACGTTACAGGGCTTTATTTACTGGTTCTTGGAAGGGACTATAACCTAATCCCTATATCATCCCTATGTATCATGATAAGATCCCCATATAACCCATATTCTATCTACTTAAGGGGAATATAATCTAATCCCTATATAATCCCTATATATACATATATACACACACATATACACATGTATTAAAAACATATCGAACATCTACATCTCATAATTGAAAGATTGGTCTTGGGGGGAGTTAGCATATATATATATATGTATACATACGGGGTTTTCCAAAAATGAGAGGTATATACCCTTTAGGGGGTCCATATAAAAAAAGCTGATAATATTTTAGGGTCTGCATTGGGATCCCCCCCCAATTTTTTTGGGACATTACCACATATATATATATATATTCCCTCATTCCCTACGAAGACCCAATAAGTTTAAGGTTTTCGAAGCCAAAGGCCACCGTGCGCTACACGTCCCTAGGGCCAACCTGCATGGGCTCAACGTTCAGGGTCTAGGGCTTTAGGGGTTTAGCGTTTGGGGAATGAAAGATATCCCGCGATAGCATGCCGGATAGGATACACGAATTTTTGATGTTCTGCAGCAGGTCAGGACCTTGACGTAAACCGGGCGCATGTGATGAACATCTTGGATTTCGTGTTTGGCTTATGGTCACTGGAAACTGTGAGCATGGTTACTTTTTCCACTATTGGGCTTCACGTTGGTGTTCAGCCTCTCAATTCTGTTGCTGAGTGTGTCAACCCTAAACCCTAAACTTCTCCTAGCAAAAGAACTACTTCTGGAACCTGGGGTCCTTCCTTCTCATACCCTAAGGGTCCATGTCCATGTACCTGGTAATTGGATCCCTTTAAGGGGACATACAGGTTTAGGGTTTAGGATTGAGGGTTTAAGGGTCCAGGTCCATGTACCCTATAGCTGTTGCTTGGGGCTTTGGTATTAGTACTCGTAGTGCAGGCTTGGGTGAAGTATATGAGTATTGGGTACTCGGACCTTTAGGGATACCTCCTAGCGAACGCGCCTATCACTACAAAGACATGCTCGTTGAAGCAATTGTCCAGTGGGCCCAATAACTCTCAAACCCTAAACCCTAAAACCCAAACCCTAGACCCCTAAACCCCTAAACCCTAAATCCTAAACCCTAAAACCCAAACCCTAAACCCCTAAGTATCACTTGAGAGCTATTGACTGGTCAAGTCATATATTGGGCTCTCGGGATGGCTACGGTTTCCAACCTGGTCCTCCAGGGTCTGACAATGCCTCACCCCTTCCCTAGGCAGCTTCCCAGTCCTTCTTTGGCTTTAGGGTTTAAGGGTCACTGAGATTTTGATCCGAAGTCCATACCGCGGAATAAAGTCCAAAAACAAGGCTACTGATCGTCAGAAGTATCTGTGCAACTAAGGGCCGCGCCCATAACGACGTGCGCTGAATCGTTCAACACCTCGGTCGGGTTCTGCTTTCCGAAGATTCTCAAACCTGTTTACAAGGCATGGGCCCCTGCAATGGATTATGCAAAGAGGGCAGCAAGCAATACTATCACAGCACAGCCACATCTACTCGTGGATAATGTTTAGGGTTTAGGGCTTCTACTTGTGGATGGTGTTTTGCACTTAGGTGCCCTGAGCATGGAAAGAAGGGCACCCTGAAGCTTTCAGGTTTCCGGAGTTCTCCAAGGTTTGAAGTTTAGAGTTCAGGATTTAGGATTTAGGGTTTAGGGTTCAGAGTTCAGGGTTTAGGGTTAGCTGACCGTAGGAGCCCTCCTAAAGATTAAACGCTTTACTCCCTTATTCTCTAATCTCTAGGAAACAGAGCAAACTGAACTCCTGACAACCAGGCTATGGGCAGCTAAGCTTCTGCTTTTGAATGACCTTATGCAACATGTCTTTTCGTTAGATTCCTTAAAGGCATCCCAAACCCGGAATCCTTGATCCATAGACCAGTGGGACCCTAATCCCCAGCGGCACCCTAATCCCTAAAGCCCAACCAAAAGGGTCCATCACACAACAATCATACACTGTGGGATTGTGATACTATGAATCGCTATTCAGGTTTTGAGGAGTAATATGCGCTTTATACTTCGGACCCTAATTAGGGTAACCCTAAACACTAGACCCTACGCCTGCTTCGATGAAGTTTTACTTCAGACACGATCCTTGTGTCGGGACTATGGACAGGAGCCGGGTGCGAAACCTGAAGTTTTGAAACCCTGAGCAAAAAGCTCTGCATAGACCTTATAAACCCTAAATCCTGAAGATCCCCCACGTAAAGAGTGCAGGTAACCACAAGTAGGACCGGCACAAACACCATCTTAGGGCACTTGGATGGATCCTTTGTGAGCTGTAAACCCCAAGCCCCGAGCAAACTCTAAGTCCTGTCCCTGCTTGCTATTTTGGGGATAAGGGTTAGGGTTTCAGAGGTTCGGGGTTGAGGGGTTAGAGTTGAGGGTTTAATGCGCGCGCCCCAAATTTGACATGGAACCCCAATGCAGACTACCGTCCTTTCTTGACTGGATGTATGTGTTTCCATGATGCATGTGTGTTTACGGAATAGTCAATATTGGGCTTGCATGAAGAGTCGTCACGTGATCCTTTTAAATCAATTCCTTGTTGAGGACCGCCCTGTAAGCCTTGCATCCCAGGTATTCATATGTCTACTTACAGTACGGACCGTCATTGCGAGACTGCGTACTCCGATCCTGCTACTCGCATATGGGTATTGACTCAGGGACCGGATGTGATTTGCAGAGGTAAGGAATAGAAATGATGACAGCGAATTCCTGTCAATTGGCATGTAAAGAAGCGCCAGCATATCAATTCCAAGTGAAATGCGAATTCTCAACAACAAGCTCTAAGCATCAAGAGCCGTCCCCCAGGGACCCAAGTATACAGTTCATACCTACATTGGGCTCAAAAGTCTGTAAATATTACCTACATTAGGCTATTTGGATCCCTATCTCTTGCTTTCGATTTCATCTTCCATGTGGTTCTCCATTATACACGTTACCTACATTGGCCAATTTGGATCCCTAGGGTTCACAATAAACCCTCAACCCTAAATCCTAAACCCTAAATCCTAAACCTTCAACTGTTAGCTGGGACCCCGCACGCCTGCCTTGGACAGCGCTAGCGCAAGCTCCTGGTACGCTCGCAACCCATCCTGGGAACTTGCTTTTAGGGTCTACGATTTAGGGTTTAGGGGTTTAGGGTTGGGGGTCTAAAGTTGAGGGGTTAGGGTGTAGGGGTTCAGGGTGTAGGAGTTGAGGATTTAGGGGTTTAGGACTTAGGGGTTCAAGGTTTAGGGAATTTAGGGTTTAGGGGTTTAGGATTTAGGGGTTTAGCGTTTAGGGGCTTAGGATTTAGGAGTTTAAGGGTTCAGGGTTTAGGGATTTAGGGTTTATGGATTTAGAACTTAGAGGTTTAGGGGTTCAGGGGTTAGGGGTTTAGGATTTCGGGATTCTGGACTTAGGGATTTAGGGTTAGGCTGGGGTTTGCACAAAGACCACATGGTAAATTCGGTGTTTGATACACAGGGAAGGTGCATGGTTAAAGATCACAGTTCCAGAGTGGCGACAAGGTTCAGTGATAAGGGTTTAGGCTCAGTTCCAGAGTGACAACAAGGCTTCTGGCTCCAGGGCTCGGGGCCGAGGTGCGCAATCCGTCCATCTTGGGGGTTGCTGTTGTTTTGGAGAACTGTATATAGTAGATAATAGGGTCTTCATCTGAGTTCCCTACAGTAACCCACTCTCTAAAAGCAACCCAGTCTTTGCGATTAAGTTGTGGCAGGGGATCATGTAGGTAGCAGGCGAGGAGGGTGAGGAGAGGGAGAGGAAGACGGACAGGGATCAAAACTAAAAGAGCCGCAGGGGGAAAGACATTATGAATTATAGTAAGGGTTCAAGCGCCTGATAGTCACATACTTCCCAAAAACCTGTACTACAATTACTAACGCGAGAATCCCATGTACTCAATCATTAGGCACATGGACCCTAAACGCTGAACCCTAAACCCTATCTATATGCATATATATATATATCTTTAGATGGACCGAATTACCAGGTACAGGGACCCCTGAGGGTTAGCTTGATCTTGCTAAGGTGCACGTGTTCCCAAACTAAGGACGACTTAGGTGGACCCCCACCCAGTAAGCATTGAGGTTAAGTGTTTAGGGGTTTAGGGTTTTGGGCAGTAAGAGTGACTGTTCGGGATAGTGGCTTTAGGGTTTAGGGTTTGGGGAGTATGAGGGATACTTGGTACCTAGAGTTTAGGGTCTACGGAGCATGAAGGATAATGGCTTTAGGGTTTAGGAATGGTTTTAAGGTGTAGGGTTTACGGCAACTGACGTTTCTTGATCTGGTTTTTGAAGGTCAACATCTCTCATGTCCCTACACATGAAAAGACGGGACCCTCATCATAAACCACCTAAACCCCCCTAAACCCTCAACCCTACACCGCGATAAAGACTACAGGAGAAGGGTGACAGTAACTTGGCAGACAAGGTCCAGCCGCCTCAATTCCCGCAATCCCTAGACCCCTAAGGCACCTACATCCTAAGCCCTATATCCCGAAATCCCTAGACCCCTGAGCTCCCACACCCGAACCCTCAATCCCTCAATCCCTAGACCCCTAAACCCTTGCACCTAAACACCTGAAGCCCTCAATCTTTAGACCCCAAAGCTCCTAAACGAAAAGTCCCCTTGAATAAATAGAATATGGCTTTGGGTATGTTGTAATAAGATCCCCATATATCTCATATTTTATCTACCTCAGGGAGACTATCAACCCTCACCCTGAACCCTAAACCCTGGACCCTAAATCCCTAAAACCTGCTGGCACCTCGCCAGCAGCAAAGGCCGCGGTAGATTGGCTTTGAAGCTCCCTCGCCTGGCAGGACTGTCGGGAGCGTTCTTAGGGGTTTAGGGTTGAGGGGTTTAGGGGTTAGGGGTTTAGGCTTAGGGTTTAGGGGTCTAGGGGTTTAGGGTTTAGGGCTTAGGGGTTTTGGGTTTAGGGGGCCACAATGATAGGGAGCTCCGTCCTCTTTAAGGGGACTCTGGAACTACTTAGACGTAACAGGGAACTCCTTACAGAAGGCTGCTCGTAAGTCCCAGCACATTCATATACGACATTGATGAGATATGGTACATGACCTACCTTTACGTATGCAACGGATCAAATCATACCTCGCGGGAGCCTCCTCCTCTCCAACCGAGCGCTGCACCAATTGATGGGGGTTGCCCAAGGTAGGGGTACCTTTTCGGGGGGAGTGCTCTGTAAAATAACAATGCTTATACATCCTATTTTAAGGGCTATGTCCCCCTATGCATGGAAGATACCATAGAGTCTCAAGGCATGCCTTATCATAATTTACTAGCTTCCATGTTCTTTTTCCCTGAGCCCCAATCCAAATTTTGGGAACTCCCCTAGCCCTAAACCCCAAACCCTAAACCCGCAAACCCCAAACC